ACTGGAAAAAATTTCCCGGAATAATAAGCATTGCACACTAGAAAGTCAGACATTGGTAGAAGCAATTTCAATCCAAGTAGCACCTAGCCAATCCAATGATGATAGTCAAGAAGATATGACACAAGTTAGTACATACTTGGGACTAAACTGAAACGTGTGAGTAGTAGTGCAAAAAAGGTTAACGTTGTGAATTATCTATGAAGAAGATGCATATTTGGTGAATGATCAGACGGGGGGTTTCCAAGCCAACACCCAAGGTTCCAATTTGGATAATTGCCTCCAATATCAAGGAAACCAAGGTTGAGATTATGGAAACCACAATCAAGAGGGAAACTATGTTCAATATGGAAGGTTAAATCGTCATAACAACTACATCCGGAACAACTATGAAAATATGAATGAGAGAGTAGAGACCTATGTTCTACCTATGAACAAGGATTACAGTAATAGAGAAGCTGGGGTAGTATGTCACACATTGAAGTTATGATGCAAAAGATGATGAAGAGCTTGATGCTATTGAAGAGAGTGTGGAAGAGATGCAAAATGACTTATGTGCAATCAGCTCAAAATTTGATGCCCGTGAAGTTTTAATCAAACAACTTAATCAGTAGTTTAATCATTTTTCCACTATAGTGAATCCATGTCAGCCTGAAACCCTTCCTAGAAACAACATCCAAAATCTGAAAAAAGATGGGAATCGTATTACAGTTACTACTCGCGGAGGTAAACATACCATTGATCCCCCAAGGCCGTCTATGGTTGAAAGTGTGGTGGAGAAATATGATGACGAGATTGTAGTTATTGGAGAGTCTAAAAATGCTATAGAGAAAGAAATATAGGTGACTCAAAAAGTTGTTCCCATGCCTACACCTCTATTGCATTCCATCAAATATTAGTGAAAAAGATTGAAGAAGGAAAATACCGCAGGGTCATTGTTATCTTGAACCAATTGTCAATAAATGTTCTGTCGATAAAAACTTTGGAAAAAATGCTTGGCAGGTTAAAAAAATTCAAGAAAGATTTGGTGAACAAAAAGAGGGCTATGAGTTTTGAGAATGATGAGAGGTTGTAACATTGTAGTTCCATTGCTACTAGGTCGCTTGTGCAAAAGACAGAGGATCCTGAAGCTTTTCCTATACCTTGCGCCGTTGGGGTTATGCACTTTGCGAAAGCTTTATGTTATGTGGGTGCTACTATTAACTTGATGTCTTTGTCCATTTATAACAAGTTGAGTTTAAGGGATCCAAAACCAACTTCAATGTGCTTACTCATGGGCAACCAAATTGTGAATAGGTCTATTAGAGTGCTCCAAGATGTTATTATGGAAGTGGAGTCATTCATCTTCCCTATAGATTTTGTGATACTTGACTGTGAGGTTAATTTGGAGGTCCCCATCATCTAAGGGAGACTATTCCTTGCTACTGGGCGTGCCTCGATATTGAGAGAGGGTTGATGAAGTTCAAACTAAACAATGAGGAGATTACTTTTAACATTTATAGGTCTATGAAGAAGGAAAGTGATTTGAAAGTGGTTAATATAGTAAATCATGTCGTAGAGTGTGGTTATGAAGTGTCTATCAAAGAGAGGTTGGGTGTTGACGCACTAGTAGCGTAATGATAAATTTTGATTGTGATAGTATTGAAGACTATGATGAATTGGTTGAGGCACTTGATAGGTTTGAATCGCGTTCCAAGCCAAAAAGATTGGAGTTAGAGATGAAGAATTGTGCATCACCACCTGCAAAACCGTTTATAGATGAGCCTCTAAAACTAGAACTCAAGGCTCTACCACCCCACTTGAGGTATGTTTTCTTGGGAAAGGATAGCACTTTTCCAGTAACGATTTTTGTAGATTTGAGTGTTGACCAAGTTAAGGCTGTAATTTCTGTGTTAAGAAAGTTCAAAAGGGTTATTGGGTGGACTATTGCGGGTGTTAATGGGATCCCTCTGGACATTTGTTCTCATAAAATCAAATTCATGCTATACAATAAGTCAAGTATTGAGCACTAAAGGAGACTAAATCCCCATATGGAAGAGGTTATGAAGAAGAAGATCATCAAATGGTTTTGATGCTGGAGTCACTACCCCATTGTTGATAGTATTTGGGTTTGTCCTGTTCACTGTAATCTAAGGAAGGGGGAATCACCATGGTTCCAAATTCTAAGAAGGAGCTAGTTCTAATGATATTGGTAACTGGGTGGAGAGTGTCTGTGGACTGCCGCAAGCTAAATGAATGGAAAAAGAAAGATCACTTCCCTATGTCATTCATGGATCAGATGCTGGATAGTCTTGCTGGTAAAGGTTGATACTATTTCTAGATGGGTTTTTGGGCTAAAATCAGATTTCCATAACTTCAAAAGAGAAAGATAAGACCACCTTCATGTCTCCTTATGGGACTTTCACTTTCAAAAGAATTCCAAATATGGTTGAGGACACAATTGAGGTATTTATGGACTATTTTTCATAGGTTTGTGACTCGTTTGATAGTTGTTTGATAAATCTAGCTGAGATACTGAAACAGTGTGAAGAGTATAATCAGGTTCTTAACTGGGAAAAGTGTTACTTCCTGGTCATAGAAGTTATAGTGTTGGGTCATCGGATTTCTCAAATAGGTATTGAGGTTGATAGAGCCAAAGTTGAGGTAATCGAAAAACTTCCACCACCCGTCTCGGTAAAGGTTTTTAGGATTTTTGTTGGTCATGTAGGTTTCTACCAAAGTTTTATTAAGATTTCTCAAAAATTGCACACCCATTGTGCAAACTACTCGAGACGGAGTGCAAGTTTGTGTTTGATGATACTTGTTTGGGAGAATTTGGAGAGATTAAGGCCAAGTTAACTTCCACACCGATCACTATTTCATCGGATTGGGGATAGCCATTTGAGATTTTGTGTAATGCGAGCTGGGTGGCACTTGGAGTAGTGCTAGGACAGAGAGGCGAAAAGATTATTCACCCAATATACTATGCAAGTAAGTCTTTGAATGTGGCACAAAGGAATGACATAGTGACTTAACAGGATATACTTTCTATGATTTTCACAGTTGAAAAGTTTAGATCCTACTTGCTTGGTTCTAAGGTCATAGTGCATATTGACCATTCTGCATTGAGGTATCTGATGGAAAAAAATGATGCAAAATTAAGGCTCATTAGATTGGTGTTGTTGCTACAAGAGTTTGCATCTGAGGTAAAAGATAGAAAGGGTTAGAAAATCAGGTTGTCGAGCATTTGTCTATATTAGAGGAAGAGTCTATGAATAAGTTTGATGATGGTATTGAAATTAATGGCGAGTTCCCGGATGAAAATGTATTGGTTGATTCTTATGATCTTATCGTGGTTAGATGATTTTGCTAATTTTTTTGCGAGTGATTTTGTTCCATCAAATTTATCATTTTACTAAAGGAAAAATGTCATGCATGATCCGAATAAGTTCTTTTGGGATGAGTCTTACTTGGTTTGTTTTTGTAATGATGGGATTAGTCATAACTGTCTGCCGAAGGTAGAGATGATGAGTTTACTAGAGGCATGTCGTTCATCACCTGTTGTTGGGCACCATAGTGGTATTCATGTTCTCATAAAATCTTACGATGTGGGTATTACTGGCCTACCATCAATAATGATGCTCATTATTTCACCAAGTCTTGTGACCGTTGCCAAAGAGAAAAAAGACTTTTAAGAGGCAATAACTACCTATGAAACCTATTTTAGTGATTGAGTTATTTGATGTTTGAGGCCATGACTTCATGGGATGAAGTATAATCTTGTTCCGGTTGACTATATATCAAAATAGGCCGAGGCATTTGCGTTTTCAAACAATGAAGAATAGTGTTAATGCATTCCTAAAAAAGTGTATCTTCTCCAAATTTTGTACATCTGGGGCTATTATCAGTAATGGAGGCTCCCACTTTTTGTAATAAGTTGTTCAAAGCATTGCTAGAAAAACATGGAGTTCGTCATAATGTATCTACCACTTACGTAGTTTAGTGGGCAATATGACGTGTCAAATAGAGAGATAAAAGAAAAAGCTTAGAAAGACTGAAGGGGAATAGAATAGATTGGTCAAGGTGGCTTGATGATGCTCTATTGTCCTGTTGCAACGCCTTCAAGACTCTTATAGGTATGTCCCCCTAACAACTGGTATATGGGAAGTCATGCCATTTGTCGGTAGAGTAAGAACATAAGGCTACAACTCAATGTATTGAAAAATACAATAAGACTCAGTTTGTATGAAAATATACAAAACAAAAAAAAATCTGGCTAGGAGATTCTCTAACCGACAGCTATGTGATGATACAAAGTCTAGCCCTCCTTGCCAGAAATATGTTATACTTTGTCAGGGTATGGAACCTACTAACTATATGGATCCATCATTCTATGCTTAAAATCAATAAGGAATCATCTACACTTTCTATCCACGTTGGCTACATGGTTTATGAGGGTTGTGAGTCGTTAGATTTCTTCCCCATATTACTGCTCAATACTATTCCTAAAATATAACTAAGCTCATTATGTTTTAAAGAAAATATTTCCTATTCCTCTACTTTGAGATTATTACTGAAAACGTTTTCTTTTATAAGAAATAGTACTGAAAACTGCTCATGAACCTTTTTGGAAATCAATGTTTCCTTTTTTCTTAAATATAAAAACATTTCTCTTGGTAACACTGAGTTCCAATATATCATTTTAAAGACTAAACTCTTCTCTACTCTTCCTCAAACTCGATGCTCAATTCTTAAAACAAGTTTAAGGATAATTTGTAAAAGACTTTTTGAAATGACTCAAAGAACCCTCTGGAGTTGAGTCTTAGCTCTACCTTGATTTGAATTATGAATCAAAACCTATAATTCATGTTATGAACGATTTCTAGATGTTTAGAAGTTTCATGACCCAGGGCTACGCCCTAGATAAAACAAGGCACATAGAATCCCTAAAGGTGCCATATAAGCCGCTTAGCATATTATAACATAAGCATAAAACAATAAAGAGTAAAAACACATTGCAAGTCTTAAAAATTTTTCATGAAAGCAAAGCAGAAATCTGGGGTTGTCTCAATAGCTTTCTATTACAATCCTTGAATCAATATAGGGACACAACCCTTAAAACACATTTCAGAAATGAAATACCAGAAAGGAACAACAAAGATAACATCCGTCCTCGAATCATTGAGGACTCGCCATAATCTAGGAGAATAGTATATCAAATCTTTTACCAAATAGTGACCACCTTATGAAATGGATCCTACACTTAGAAAATATAGGTTAGGACAAAAATGCAATAAGTATGATAGTCATGCAAACAAAATAGTGAAGAAATGAAAAAGGGACATTTTAGCTGAATTCATGCAATTTACTAAGTTAAAGTATAATTCTGAAGATAGTGGAAAAACATAAGTCATAAGTATAATCAACTCACAATTCCTCATATTATAAAAGAACCATTTCAAAAATACCTACAAGGCCTACTTGTTCAATGCATGAATAACAACCCATAATACCGCCATCCGTGATAACTAAATCTTCTTGAGTAACCATAGTTCACATGTCATGTTCTGGTTTATATTGTTACCATAGAAGAAATAAGCCTGAACCTACATAGACCATGTGATCTAAACATGGAATCAAATGTTACCCACACCGAAAAGAATTGTCCTACTTGCCTAAGGTAAGACCATCATTTGTTAGCTTAAGGTGGGTCCACTAGATAAATAACCTTTGGGGGTACTTAGTTTATGGGATAAGAATATTCTTACTAGAAACTTGCCCTTTTACACGAAAGGGGTTCAATCACAAGAGGTTGCTTCTAGAAATTGGACCATTCTCTCGAAAGGGCATCCATCTCATAATCAATATCCACTAGGTGATAAGAATTTATCCCACAAAGTAATCATAAATTCATAACTTGTTTCATTAAGATAGCTCATTAGATGAGGCGTGAGAATAACCTTTCACCGTCCATGTCTACATATAACATTAGATTCAATTAGGTGAGAATAACCTTTCAATTTTAGAATCATCATATTGTGAGAAAATCTCTCACATTATGTTCATTATGTGTTCATGATAAGATAATTTTAATAATCACAACAACATTATCATAATAATGGACACGTCTCTCCCAAAGTGTTCTTAATGCATATATATAACCTTCAAAATATTATGAATTATATCATATCTTGCCTTTTCAAAGGTCAAATCTTATGTAAAATTATCACATATAGAATTATTACACTATACATGGATAGTAACATGATTAAATTAACTCAAATGCTACGAACATAATCTCATAGTATCTTTCTTTCATCAATTCACCCACATCACAAGGTCACAAATTAGGATTATAGGGATTTCTTGGATTCTTATGGATTTAAACATAAAACAATAGTAAATCATCAATAAAATAATAATATAAAGTAATTATATAATTAAAATCATTTTTTTTAAGAAATCCATGACTTCGAGTAGAACCCTGGATATTACAAGCTTTGAAATTGAGTTTAGAGGGACTCCATGGATGAAGACTATCCATGGATGAAGGAGTGGAAAACTTTGATCCTTCAACCCTAGCCTCATTTTCCTTCTTCTTCGTCCTTGAAGTTCTAGAGAGAGAATTTTGGAAAACATTGGTTTTGATTTGGGATTTTTGGAATTAGGAGGAAGATGACTTATTTAGGGGTCTTAAATCTTTATATAGTTAGTCTAATCATCATATATTTACATAAAAGAGAACCCTTGGCCCGCCTACGTGGCGCCACCATAAACCAACCCTTTTAAATTTATTTACTTTCAAAACTAGTCCTTTCTTTTCATGATAAGTTGAGACTTTCATGAAAAGTTGTGACATTTTAGAATTGTGACTTTTATGAAAAGTTGCAACTTTTATGAAGAGTTGCGACTTTTATGACAAAATGTGACTTTTATAAAATGTTGTGACCTTTCTAAAGAGTTGTAACTTTTCCAAAAAGTTTTGACCTTTCCGATAAGACACAATAATATTTGTTAACACTACCTTATGTTGTCTATAAATAGAGGAATTTTGTGCAACTATAATTGGTAGTTTTTTTCACGCTATAGGGTAGTTGTTACATCCTTTTGAATGGCAGCAACGTCGCGGTGACTCAAGTAAAAAAAAGTTAATTAATTTGAAAAGAGTTAAAAGAATTTTGAAAATTAAAGGAAAAAGAGTTTAAAGGGAGTCGCCACCTAATTTTTAGGAAAACTAGGAAACAAATTAACTTAAAACTTTTTTTACGAAACCAATTTGATTCTAGATAAGGGGTTCAAGTTATTTCAAAGGGAGGGGTTAGGCATCTTTCGAAATCCACAAGTGTGGTTCCCGACTAAGTTCATTTTTATAAATGGAGGAGGACAATAAAAAATGTGCAAGTATTATAAACATGTAATATACACAAGTAATGTAATAAAACAATAATATAGAAATCGATCTAAATTTGTCTATCGTCAATAATATACAATAAGGAATACGAGTAATACTCTAACCTAATTTGAATAGCTTCAATGAGGAGCACCTCGGGGTATCTGTAAAAACGTTTAGTAAAAAATGTTAGTAATGAATCTTAGCTTGAGCCTACCTTCGCACACCTCCGTTACTCTTTAGGAGGCATCCGCCCCAGATAAACTACCCACCTCGCAGTGTCCCGCCTCCCCCCGAATGATCGGTGCGGCGGTTAGGCATCCTTAGACGAAAGAGTGGTCGGGATAGTGTTCAATCATCCGGTGCTCTTGCCGGTCTTGGTGGTAGGGCAGTAGGTCGCTAAGAAGCTGTTGTTGAAGCAGTGTGGCAGGGAAGATGCAATAGCCGGGAACAAGCGGAACTGGAATTCTCACTTGAAATAGCGTATTAAAAAGAGAGGTTCTCCGTGTCGAGAGAGATTTGCAATCAAATAATAACTTAAGAATACAAACCCGTCTTATTAACATGGAAGGCTTTCGAAATCGATAGTCATTTTTAACAATAAAGAATATAAACATGAATTGAATTTTCGTCTTTTAAAATAGGGAGGCCTCCAAAACTGATGGAGAGATTTTCTCATTGGCCACTTTAAATAAGTAAAATTTACAAATTTGAACATGTTAGAATTAAAAAAATGCAATGTGACAATATTAATAATGACGTTCTTAATTGAAAATAACAATCTACATGTAAAATGAAGCAACCAATAATAAAAGAAACTTATAGCCATTCATATTTAATTAGCGAAAAGACAAAAACTAACAAGCATTTAATATGTAGCAACTTAACAATAACAACTTAATAATAAAATTTAAAAAAATCAATAAGCCTTCAAAAACAATACAAACCTCAAAATAGTAACATGTGACAATATATTTTCGGCATAATTAATAACAATTAAAAGTTGAAATATAAACCCAGATAAATATAGGAAAATACAAACAGAAAATAACATAGTCATAACCAACTAATATTAACAAAGAAAGAAAATAGTCAACTAATATAAACACCAAAAGTTAGCAAAAAAATAACAACATAAACATAAAACTAAAAGTGTATTGAAACAACTCACAATAATTATGACCACGACGTCAAAGAGTAAACTACGCTCAAACCATAGGAAAAATGCTTAGAATCAACATAACAAACCCCAAAATAATAAGTATTAAATAAGAGAAAATCAATGACAAAGACCTTATCAACACACAGTCAATAACTTAAACATGAACAAAATGAAAAATAACAGTGGCCGAAACTTGAGCATCTCCAGCCAGATCTAAAAAGAGAAACGAATTGAAAGAGGTTACCTAAGTTGGAGTCAAGCTGGTGATTTCGGGTTATTGCTATTGTTGAAAACGCCTGATGGTTTGAGCTTCGCCGGCATTGTTTGGTGGAGATGTTGGATTTAAGCTGGCGTAGGTTCGCATAAATAAATGGTCTAGTTCCTCGAGCATCAAGTTGTCTGGTGTGTTGGGTTTTGTTTTTTGTTGATTTGTTGTTCTTCGGTGGGTGAAGCTGTTGAACTCAGGTTAGCCATTAATGGCTAAACTCGAGCATGGAGAAAACGAATGGAGCGGTGACGATTTTCGGATCCGGTTTGGAGGATGTTTGGTTCCGATTCGGAGCTGATTGGAAATGGGGTGTGGGGTGATGGTTGCTGGAAAAATGGGTTCATTTCTGGCTTGGTTTTGGGGTTTGAAAAAATGGAGAAAACGGGAAGGCAATGATGGTGTGAGCTGGTGGCTTGTGGTGGTGTCTTCGTCGGAGTTTCTGGTGGGTTAAGGTCTGGTTGGAGAAGAAAAGGGGAGGAGCTTTTGGTTGCCCAAATTCATGGCTGTTGTTGGAAAAAATAGTAGTCTCACCAGAAAATTGAAAAAATGAAATGGGGTATTAGCTTCGCCGAAAAATGCTCCAGCGAGGGTGATGGCCAAAAAATTATGAAGCACTAAAGATAAATCTTATGACTTAAAAATCTAAAAAATTGTCCCCTCAATTATATCGAACGCTTAACCTAATGAACCAAATATCGCTTAACCTAATGAACCAAATATATTATATATGGGGAATTATTAAAAATGGGCCTAAGTTATGGACTTGATATTGTAGCCCAAAATTGTTGGTTGATAAAATATATGCGTATGCAAATTGTATTCGTTTTTGAATAAATTTTTAGACTACACAGAATATCAAAATGAAAATCAAAAAAAATATAACAAACGTAAAAATGACATGTAAAAAATGTAATTTAATAGAAATAGAATGAACAAATATTTGAACGTATGTATGTGACAAAATTATATAAATAGAATAACTGATAAAAATCATAATACTTTGAGAAAAATGATGATTATCAACAAACTGCATTAAATAATAAAACATGTATTTTGAACTATTTAAAATAAAATACTCAAAAAGTATTAATTTTAAAACTACCAGACAAAACTTTTTGGTGTCATCAACTTTATCTTTTGTTTGGTTAGGACCGATGAATGAGATCCTGGTCAAACAAAGTTGATGAAACCAAATTTGGTTAGATAAACTTTGAACAAATCAATTGAGACGTTAGTAGAGATTTTAATCAAGACTATACGTCTGTCGACTTAGCCGAAAATAATAAACAAAAGACAGAGATTGATTGTAAACAGAGAACATTCACATACCTTTGATGTTACATGAAAAATTGCACAATAAAGGTGGTGTACCTTTTTGAAAGGAGGATGATGTGAATAACATGTCACTTTGAACGAGGTGACAACCTAACACGTCTCTTTGAAAGACGGACAACCCATTTTGAACATAACATGTCACTTCGAACGAGGTGACAACCCAACTTCTCTTTGAAAGGAGGACTACCGACTTGAATATAACATGTCATTTTGAACAAGGTGATAACCCAACATGTCTCTTTGAAAGGCGGACGACCCAACTTAAGTATAACATGTCACTTTGAATGAGGTGACAACCCAACTTGTCTCTTTGAAAGTCGGATGACCCAACTTGAACTTAACATACCATTTGAAGAGAGATGGAAATCCAACATGTCTCTTTGAAAGACTTAACATACCATTTGAAGAGAGATGGCAATCCAACATGTCTCTTTGAAAGGCGGACGACCCAACCTGTCTCTTTGAAAGGCGAATGACCCAATTTGTCTCTTTGAAAGGCGGACGACCCAACTTGAACTTAACATGTCGTTTGAAGGGAGTTGACAACCAATGTGACTCTTTGAAAGGCGGACAACCCAATTTGAATACAATATGTCACTTTGAACAAGGTGACAACCAACGTGTCTTTTTGAAAGGGGGAATACTCTACTTGAATATAACATGTCATGTTGAATGAGGTGACAACCCAATGTTTCTCTTGAAAAGAGGACTACCCAACTTGAATATAACATGTAACTTTGAACGAGGAGACAACCCAACGTGTCTCTTTGAAAGGCGGATGAACCAATTTGGAAATAACATGTCACTTTGAACGAGGTACAACCCAAAGTGACTCTTTAAAAGGCGGATGACCCAATTTGAATATAACATGTCACTTTGGATGAGTGACAACCCAACGTGTGTCTTTGAAAGAAGGATGATCCAACTTGAAAATAATGTATCACTTTGAACGAAGTGACAATCCAACGTATCTCTTTGAAAAACGAACGACCCAATTTGAACTCAATGTGTCATTTTAAAGGATATGAAGACCCAATCTTGAACTTAATATGAATGGTGTATAACAAAATCAAGAATAACAATGTCAATAATAAATATAACATAAAAACAACATCAAATATGTACACATGGCCTCATATGGACAAGATAATTAACTGATGGGGCAATTTGAACTTAATAATAACATGAATAAAAAAATTTAAAATGGATAACAAAATAAGTGTCATGTTGAAAGACATGAGAAACCAATTTGAAAAGAATCATTTTATTTGAGATAACGAATTAATTTTTTAACAGATGTCATTTTGAAAGGTATGAAGACCTCAATATAAAAAAATGTAATTTGGAAGAGTACGATGACCCAAATTTAAAAAGATGTCATTTTGAAGGATATGACGATCAAAAATAAAAATATGTCATTTTAAAGGATATGATGACCCAAAAATATAATTTTAACTATTAAACGGTCCACAAAGTTACTTTGGACAAATATCAACAATGAAATGATCCACAAAGTTGGTTTGGACAAATATCAACAATGAAACGGTCCACAAGCCCTTTGACATCATTCATTGCATACATGTATGAGAAGTAGTGCGGAATTAAAACTTTTCACACGAATAATATCTCAAAACATCTTTCATATAAAACCATAAAAAATAGCAAGTCTCAAGATACGCCAATGTTAGACTCAAGAATTCTTGAGACACGGCCCTTACAATCGACATATAAAAACTTAGTCTATTACAATACTTTTAAAGAAATAAATCAAAAGATGGTTATGTCCTAGAATCATATGAGGACATACCCCAACTTTGCTTGAAAAATTCGTAGTTTCAAAGCTTTGCTTGAAGATAGTCACACCTTTAGAAATAAATAAAAGTATGGAATTAGTACAATGCATGTTCTAAGTATGGAATAATGCATAAAATCGTGGTTATAGAACGTTTATATCAAAATATGCTCTTTTACAGTAAAACATCAGATCATATTATAGATAACCACATATCACACCAACTTCACATATAAATCATGTATTACAAGATAACACATCAAAACACATAAACATGAGATCCTTCTACCAAATGTGATTCTAAGGCTCATTTGAGTGAGCTATGAAGTGACCGACCATACAATCCCTTCACACACACTAAAAAAAGATCCTTTAGACTACCTAAGACAAGATTATTCCCATTTCATTAATCAAAGTCCCTACCTAGAATTACTCTAAGACTCACCTAAGTAAGATTAGAAGAGAATGCACATACACCCTCTCCAAGTCTACCTAAGCAATCCTCAAAGCTATTCTAGATACTTGCCTTTTCATTAACATACCTTCACTTAAGTCATTATATTCATTATACCCTTTAAGAGATATTCAACATTTAAGGCCATTCACATAACGGTCTTGGAGATGACCTAGGGACTCACATACTAATATCTTCAAAGCCTAATCGTGCAATGTCTAAATAGCATCCCATTACACTACCTAAACATCATAGAACTTATCCAACACTATCATGTATCCCACATGATGAGAATAGGCAATAACCGACATAGACCATAGTAGCTAAGCATGGAATCCGGAGTCAACCCTACTCCGAAAGTGAGTGTTCTACTTGCCAATGGTAGAACTAGGACACAACCTATGTATGCTCATGGTTAAGGAATATGAAGGATTTTTTTTGTTATCTAATATCATCTTATTTAAAGAAACTCCCCAAGCATACTCATTTGGTGCTAGCCTTTGTTCTCATAGAATTACTCAATAAAG